CGCCTGGGCAGCGAGACTCATCTCTACAATAAATTTAAAAATCAGCCGGGCATGGTAGCTCATGCCTGTAATTCTGGCTACTCGGAAGGCTGAGGCGGAAGGATCGCGGGAGCCCAGCAGGTCCAGGCTGCGGAGGCCGGGCGCGGCCACTGCACTCCAGTCTGGGCGACAGAGTGAGACTCCAACTCAAAAAAAAAAAAAAAAAAAATCAAAAACTAGCAGACATCGTACAGGTAACACAAAGTTTCTTTATCAATACCTTTTCCAGTTTTGGGTGGAAGGATCTAGTTCATGTACTTAGAGTATTGCCTGTTAAAGGTCCAAGGAGAGTTCTCTGTTCTGACTTCCCACCTTGTTTGAACCCCAGGCTTGTTTCTTGTTTCAGCAAGCTTGTGGCTAGTTAAAAATCAAGCTCTAATCTCTACATTGTAAACAAAATTCCATTCCGGGCCAGGCATGGTGGCTCAGGCCTGTAATCCCAGCACTTCAAGAAGCCAAGGCGGAAGGATTACTTGAGCCCAGGAGTTCAAGACCAGTCTGGGTAATATAGTAAGACCTTGTCTCTACAAAAAAAAAAATAAATAAATTAGCCGAGCTTGGTGGTGTGTGCTTGTAGTCCCAACTACCCAGGAGGCTAAAGCACAAGGTTGCAGAGATCTGTGATCTCACTACTGCACTCCAGCCTGGGTGACAAAGCGAGATCCTGTCTCTCAAAAACAAAACAAAACAATGAACAGGAAGATTTGAAAAATAACCAAATAGCTGGGCATGTTGGCTCATGCCTATAATCCCAGCACTTTGGGAGGCAGAAGTGAGAGGATTTCCTGAGCCCAGGAATTCAAGACCAGCCTAAGCAACATGGTGCGATCTCATCTCTACAATAATTCAAAAAATTAGCGGGGCGTGGTGGCATGAGCCTGTAGTTCCAGTTACTTGGAAAGTTGAGGTTGAGGATTGCCTGGGCCCAGCAGGTCGAGGCTGTGGTGGCCATGAATGTGCCACTGCTCTCCAGCCTGGGCGACAGAGGGAGACTCCAACACACACACACACACACACACACACACAAAGAACCAAATAGAATTTCTAGGCATAAAATATTAAAATTACAAACTTAATAAGTTATTTATCAAATTAGACAAAAATTGAAGAAAGAACTAATGAAATGAGTGAAAAGTCTGAAGAAAGTATTAGCTGGGTTCGGTGGCTCAGCCTGTAATCCCGTGCTTTGGGAGGCTGAGGTGAGTAGATTGCCTGAGACCGCTGGTTCGAGACCCACCCGGGTAACTTGACTAAAAAAAAAAAAACCGGTTCTCACATTTGAGAATACCAAAGAATTTCAAGGAAAATAACAAAAATTAAATCCATACTTAAGTACAGAATAGTGAGGCTACAGAAAACAAAGATACAGATTGCATCTTAAAAGCAGCCAGAAGGTCCGGCATGCTGGCTCTCACCTATAATCCCAACACTTTGGGAGACGGAGGCAAGAGGATTGCCTGAACCCTTGGGTTCAAGACCAGCCTGAGCAACTTGGTGAGTCCTCGTCTGTATGATAAATAAAAAAAATTAGCTGGGTGTGGTGGTGCACGCCTTGTAGTTCCAGCTACTTGGCAGACTGAGGCAGAAGAATTGCCTGATCCCAGCAGGTTGAGGTGGTGGTTACCATGAACTCCAGCCTGGGCAACAGAGTGACACTCTGACTCAAAAAAGAAAAAAACAAAAACCCAAAAACAAAAAAAAAAAGCAGCCAGAAAACAAAGCTAGATTCCCACAAACCAATGACATCTATACTTTCAGCGACCTCCTCAATAGTCGCAATGGAAACCAAAGACAATGGAACAACAGCATCAAAGTTTTGCGAGTAAATAACTCTCAACCTAGAATTGCATATCCAGCAAGATTATCTTTCAAGTATGAGAGTGAAATAATAACTTTCAGAAAATCAGCAACTTACAGCAAAATCAGCAACGTAGAGCCTTTACTACTGACAGACCCTCACAAAAGGACACTGTGAAGGATGATCTCAAGGAAGAAGAAAAGTAACCACTGAGCAAAATTGCTGAAACCCAGGAGTTTGGGAGTAACCTGGCAACAGAGTAAGACCTAGTCTCACAGAAAAAGTCTAATATGAAAGAAGATATAGTAAAAATGTAAAACTGCAAATGTAAAGAAATTCAGTATAAAAAACAATAACAGTAAAATAATAATAATAATGTATAATTTGTGAGGTTTTACAAAAAATAGAAATAAAATACTGGACACCAATAGAATGCTAAAAGGAAAGTGATCAGTTAAGGCATTTAGATACTTGAACTGTTCTCGATGAGTATAATATCGATTTATTTTAGAATGGGTTAATTTATAGATGTTGAAATTTCTAAGGAACAATTACTCAAAGAAAGGAATAATTGAAACCTTTAGTCTTTTTCCATACAGGCAAAAAAAAAAAAAAAAAAAAAGGAGAGAGAGAAGAGGAAAAAAATCAACATAAAAGGCCACAAGAAGGGAGAAAAGAATCAGAAAAATAAGTATTTTTCATTTCTCTTTTTGTATTTCATTTTATTTTTACCCAATAACAGCAGAAAAGTAAAATAGTCTAACCAATATTATTTAATGCTTTCCAATATTTCTTTTTTTTTTTGAGTTGGAGTCTCACTCTGTCGCCCAGACTGGAGTGCAGTGGCCGTTCCCAGCCACCGCAGCCTCGACCTGCTGGGCTTTGGCGATCCTTCCACCTCAGCCTTCCAAGTAGCTGGAACTACAGGCACGCACTACCACAAATGGCTAATTTTTTTGATTTATTGTAGAGATGAGGGCTCGCCAAGCTGCCCAGGTGGGTCTTGAATCCACGGGCTCAGGCAATCCACTCACCTCAGCCTCCCAAAGCGCTGGGATTACAGGCTGAGCCACCCGAGCCCGGCTCATGACACAGTTTTAAATCAGGGTCTTTGCAGACTGGAATTGATCTAAATAGCTAAATAAATTTCAGTCCATCCATTCAGCCAAAACCAAGGAAGCATTAAAAACAACAGGTGATGCTACAATAAGAAACATTCTGAGATGTACTCATACAAAAAGAGAAGCAGAAGTCCAAATGCAGTGGCTCAATGCCTGTAATGCCAGCACTTTGGGAGGCTGAGGTGGAGTTCAAGAGCAGCCTGGGCAACATATTAGGACCCCATCTCCACAAAAAAAAATTTTTTTAATTAGGCAGGCGTGGTAGCATCTGCAGTCCCAGCTATTTGGGAGACTGAGGTAGGAGGACTGCCTGTACCCAGAAGATCAAAGCTGTGGTGAGCCGTTAATTGTGCCACTGGACTCCAGTCTGGGTGTCAGAGTGAGAATTCAACTCAAAAGAGGCAGAAACTATTTTTACATTATGCTATAATTTGAGTAAATGTGATGATAAACATATATGCAATATATATACATATATATAGTCAAAATTGTTTAACATAGTCTCTTTTTTTTTTTAAGAGAGAGAGTCTTGCTCTGTTGCCCAGGTTGTGGATCAACTTCCTGCCTCAGCCTCCTGAGCATCTGAGAACACAGCTGTGCACCATCACACCCGGCTAGCATACGGATAATTGAAGAACATGAAACACTGGGTGGCAGGATGGGTTTTTGCTGTATGTCCTTCTGTAATTTTTGAATTCTGAGTCATGTGAAGACATTATTTATTCAAATATGAGTGAAGTGCAAAACTCATCACAAGCAACCCATCTTGAGTTGTTAGACTATGCTGGGACATTCCCCAAATGCTGCCTGGGGTAGCAATCTACACGTTAGGTCAGAGGCTATCTACGGCCACGGGCTGCTGTCTGAATGCAGTTTTAGAATAGGGGTATGTTGCAGGGAAGTGTGGTTTCTGGCTGCTCCTAAAGAACCCGCAGCAGATCTGGCTGCCTTAAGCCAAGGGGCAACAAAAGGGCAAAGAGCTGCAATTTGCCCCAATCTCCACCACTCCCAACAGTCTTCCTGGCATGCTGTGTTTCTCTTAGAGCTGAGCCATATTTCTCGGCACTATGTACCCAGCAAAAGTGAGCAGGTGCAGATCAAGAGGGTTGCATGCATGTGAAGAACAATGGCAGGTAGGATACTGTTTGGGAGGGGGCAGATGCTACCCGAGACTGGCAGACAAAGTCTGTGATGGGTCCCAGCCTATGCTTCCTACCATGTGGTGAATAGACCCGCAGGTTGATGGGCACTGGGGAGATGCCTTTGTTGGTCCCCGTGACCCTGTCGGTCTCTGCTTCGATCTCCTGTCGGACTTCATCAAAGTCTGTAAACTTTTTGGATTTGCAGTGCAAAAACTCAGCATATTCTGAAAAGAGAAGAGAGAGAGTCGAAATGAGAAAAAGATGTGGTCTTGTTATAGAGGGGAGCAGATGGCTTCTGGGACAAGGGCATTGTTAAGTAGAGAAATTAAAGAATCAGTCAGTCACCCTAGGAATTTGGCACCAAGAGATTCATTCCTGTGACAAGTACTTGAGGGTGAGGGAGCTCCTACAACTGAGTCCCCTTCCAGATGTGGGAGATTCTACAGATGACAATACTGGCTAAGACTCAGCACATGAAAAAGACATTCTCATGCACATTTTGCAAACCTCATATCATGACATATTATGAGTAAAAAAAAAAAAACATCAGGCGGCTGTGACTGGTGTTGATTCTTTATGCTGGTGAACAGAACAGGAGAGGAAGTGCCCCCCAGAGCAAGGGTGAGTACATGCATGAGGCTTCTGCTCTGGCATTTACATGACACTGAGTCTCAGGTAGTGATGTAGAAGCTCCCTTGCAGTGAGCCCCAGTAAAGGAGATAGCAGCCGCTGTCCCGGTGGGATCGTGGGCAGTCAGCAGTCAGCCCAGCTCTGAGATCCCCAGGAGTATATCCATGGGACTCGTGTGCTTTTCAACACTGCACCCATAAGGGACAGGGAACAAGGTGCTCTTGCTAGCCTCACCAAAGTCTGGCTCATGTCCCTCCTGGCTGTTCAAGGGGAAACCTTACACATGAACTCCTCAGAAGAAATGCTTTCTGGGCAGAACCTAGAGGGGATGGTGCAGGGATGTCTGAAAGCCATATCAAGAAAAAATAAGTAACTGACAAGGTGGTGTGGGTCCTCAGCCAATTAGAGAAATTCAACTCTAGCTGGGTATGGTGGGTCATGCCTGTAATCCCAACACCTTGGGGGGGTCAAGACCAGCCTGGGCAAGCTGGTGAGACCGTCTCTACAATAAATGAAAAAAATTAGCCAGACATGGTTGTGCATGCCTGTAGTTCCAGCTACTTGGAAAGTTGAGGTGGAAGAATCACCTGAACATAGCAGGTCAAGGCTGCAGTAGCCATGAGTGTACCACCGCACTCCAGCCTATTGTAACAGAGTGAGGCTCTGACTCAAAAAAAAAAAAAAGAGAAAGTAAGAAAGAAAAGAAATCCAGTCTAAAGGCCCTGATATGGGACAAAGTAAATACAAAGTATGTTCAGCATGGTTTGTAGGAACTGAGCATACAGGTGTCCACTGTATAATGCCTGACCTTTTCTAGATATTTCCATTTTCATAAGATTTTGGGGCTGGGCTCGGTGGCTCAGCCTGTAATCCCAGCACTTTGGAAGGCCGAGACAAGTGGACTGCCTGAGCCTGCACGCTTGAGACCAGCCTGGGCAAATTGGCGAGACCTTGTCTCTACAATAAAATAAAAAATAGCTGGGCGTGGTTGTGCACGTCTGTAGTCCCGGCTACCCGGAAGGCTGAGGCAGAAGGATCGCCGGAGCCCAGCAGGTCGATGTTGGAGTGGCCGTGAGTGTGCGTGCCACTGCACTCCAGCCTGGGCAAAGGAGTAACACTCCAACTCAAAAAAAAATAAAGATTTTGGGGTGGGGAGACCCTCGAAGCTCAGAGACCATGAAGCGATGCAAAAAAGAATGCGGAAAGGCCAGGCCCAGTGGTTCATGCCTATAATCCCAGCACTTTGGGAGGCTGAGGTGAGAGGACTGCCTGAGCCCACGGGTTCGAGACCAGTCTGGGCAACTTGGCAAGACCTCATTTCTACAATTAAAAAGAAAAAAATTAGCTTCTGTAGTTCCAGTTATTTGGAAGGTTGAGGCAAAAGGATCGCCTGAGTCCAGCAGGTCAAGGATGCAGTGCCACTGCACTCCTGCCTGGGCCACAGAGTGAGACTCCAACTCAAAAAAAAAAGGTGGGGGTGAATAGGTCATGTTGACAGAGAGGCCAGAGAATGGGTCCATGCAGAGATGCAAAGATGTGTCTTTCTGCATGGTGTCTAAGAGTCAAAACTGGAAATAACCTGAACATCCACCAGGAGGAGACCTGGCTACAGAAGCAGCATAGCCATGAATCCCTGAGATACAGATACCCTAGCTGGGTCTCATTCTCTACGTAGAGGCAGGAGGAGATATGCCATCCCTTCACTATAACCTAACCAACTATGGCCAACATCCGGCCCTGCTCACTATGGTCAGGCCCCATGTGGAGTCCCACCAGCTCCTTCAAGCCCCATAGCAGGAAGGTGTCTCCATGATCCTTGTCTCAGCAATGAAGAAACTGAGGCCCAGAGTGGTGACTCAGTCTGTGTTCAGTGGCAGAACTGAGACTGGAACTCAAATATTCTGGGCTTCAGGAAGGGGCTCTCAAGCCAGACAGTCTTTGTGGGACCAATGCAAGGAACTCTGCCCCTCTCAACTTTTGCTGCAGTGTCAAGGGGACTCAGTGGGCTCAGATAACAGATACATGCCTAGCCCAGGCACAGGCAGCACAGAAGGGGTAATGTGGTTGCCAGCTGGAGGATCCAGGATCCCCATCCCCACTGCCAGCCCTGCTATATCAGCTGGCCCAATTTCCAAGGACAGTCACACTTCAGCCCTCCACAGGAACAAGAGGAAACACTCGGCCACTTTTCCTGTAGCAGCCACTAAAAATGGAACAGTCCCCAGCCCCCCAACAGCAAATCTCAGTTCTCTTCCGGCTCCAGGTCCAAGGCCTGGCCCCAAAAGAGACCATCCCCCTCCAAGGAGTGCAGGGGGATGTGGGATGGAAGAGGAGCTGGGGGCCAGGACGCAGGCCCTCTCCCCACCAGGCCTGCTGTATGCAAGGTCCAGCCCCAGCTCCTCCTCCTGGACCTGCCTGTAGCCTGAGTCCCTGAGTCCTGCCTCTGATGCCTCCTTCCCCACCACAGCCAGGTCACTCTGGACGGTATTAACAGGGCCATGACCTGCCTGCTGCAAGGCTCCTGAGCCCGACAATTCCTGGCAGCATGCTACTATGATTATGTGATCAGTCTGCAGTCAGAGGGCCCACCCAGATCTCTGTCTACTGATCTATGAAGTGGGCATCACAGCAGGGCCTGCGTGAAGATTTAAGGAGTCAACACCTATACAGTTACCATCTGAGCAGCAGGAGGACAGCAGACCCCAAGGCGTGATGTAGGATGGGAGCAAAGGGCTTCAACATTCCCTCAGCTTGCACAGGGAGCCCAGAAACAGCAAGCTATTCTCAAAAGTCACACAGCATCCTCACCACTTCCTGTAAGTGCTAACAGAAACATCCCTCTCCCCATAGAAACTGTTCCACCCAGCCCCTACTTCCCCTGCCTTGGATTCCCCATAACACATATTACCAGCTGACAGAGGGTTTGTGTTACTAATCATACACACACCCACACACACACACACCCTGTGCATACCACCCATGGTCCCTGAATGTCAGCACCACCAGGGTAGGGACATTTGTCTGCCTTGGTTATTGCTGTGTCCCCAGGGCACACTCATGCATGTTAGCTAAGCAAATGGAGGCACGGCCTGCCTAGTTGCCACAGGTTCTGTGGAGGCCTTTATGACCCCTAAGCTGAATCTTGGTGTCTGGACTAAAAAACATCCCCTGGAACATCACACTGTCCTGAGACAGGGACTGGGACACAGTTCCACAGGGATACCCGCTTGGCCAGAACCAGGAAGCCAGACCCACACAGGCTGGACTCTGGCCTCAGGAGTCACACACAGGTACAGAACTGGCAGGGGAGCAGGGCAGTATGCGACATTCTGTTATCTCCCCTCTGAAATCCTCCTCCCACTATGTGCCCAGCCCTCCATGCAGATGAAGGGTAGAGAAGGTTTCTGAGGTTCCTCTTCCTTTGCAGGTCAGCGGGCCACAGAACCACAGCCTCAATGCCCAAGAAGGCCTGGAGCCAATCAGTCCTGTCCCAATTGCCAGGCCTTCTTTTCAGAAATTCTTGGCACTATAGAAGGGTCTGCTGGAGTCAATATCAATGACAGAAAGCATCCACCAAGTAGGCTCAGCCTCCATAGCACTCACTTAAAGCCAGATCTCACCCTTCCTTTGCTTATCCATGGGCCGGGACAGTGGCTCACGCCTATAATCCCAGCACTTTGGGAGGCTGAGGCGAGAGGATTGCCTGAACCCTCTGGTTCAAGACCAGCCTGGGCAACCTGGCGAGATCTCATCTCTACAATAAATTTTTTTTTTTGAATTAGCCAGAGCCGGGCTCGGTGGCTCAACTTATAATCCCGTGCCTTGGGAGGCCAAGGTGAGTGAATTGCCTGAGCCCACGGGTTCAAGACCCGCCTGGGCAACTTGGCAAGACCTCATCTCTACAATAAATAAAAAAATTAACCAGGCGTGGTAGCGCACGCCTATAGTTCCAGCTACTTGGAAGGCTGAGGCGAAAGGATCGCCAGAGCCCAGCAGGTCGATGCTGGGGTGGCCAGGAGCGTGCCACTGCACTCCAGTCTGGGCGACAAAGTGAAACTCCAATTCAAAAAAAAAAAAAAATTAGCCAGGCATAGTGGTGTGTGCCTATAGCTCCAGCTACTTGGTAGGATGAAGCTGAAGGATCGCCTAAACCCAGCAGGTCGAGGTTGCAGTGACTGGGAACATGCCGGTGTCCTCCAGCCTGGGTGACAGAGTGAGATTCCAACTCAAAAAATAAAAACATACACACACACACAAAAGAAGTCTCCATGGTTCCCACATCACCCAGAGTAAAAGCCAAAGTCTTCACCATGTGCCACAGGATCCCACAAAATTTCCTTCTCCCCAACTTGACTTCAATTCATTCCTCCAGGCCCTTCAGCCTACTCCACCTTTCTGAAACAGAGACCATGTTTTTTGGTTTTTTGTTTTTAAGAGATGTTTTGCTCTATGGGCCAGGCTGGAATGCAGTGGTACAATCATAGCTCACGATAGCCTCAAACTCCTGGGCTCAAGCAATCCTCCTGCCGCGGCATCCCAAAGTGCTAGGATTACAAGCATGAGTCGCCATGTCTGGCTTGAAGTAGTAAGCTTT